TTGCACTCATTGCACTGATTTTCTGCAGTATTTTTTGATGCAACTTTTCTACTTCTGTTATTTGCTGTTGTTTCTAAAAAATAGACGATATTACAGCTTTCATTGATTTATTTCAAACTTGAAACTTTGTTTATCCTGTAATGTGTAAAAAAAAATAATAATAAAAAACTTTTTTAACCGATTAATCGAATCGTATCGCATCGTGGTGTATTCTTGAGTATCGAAAATAATCGAATCGTCGGGTCAGGAAATCGATACTGAATTGAATCGCCATGATGGATGTGATTTACACTCCTAAATATGATTAGGGGTTCCTTTACTCATTAAGACCAAATCCACTAAAAACAACATTTTGATCCAGATTAGGTGAAAACTGAGAAAAAAAGGCCAAGTTTAATTTGAATAAATCAATCACGCATAACTCGTTAAGATTAGACAACAGCTATTAGCTGAACAAAATTAGCTCAGACATTAAGACACATTTAAACTTATAGCATCAGATTGCAGCTGTTAATACATCTGGGGGGGGGTGGATTCACCATTAGGCAAAACTAGGCAGTTAGGGCACCAAGTTCCTCCCCATAAAACTCTGTTTACATGTATGTTTAATACAACTATTCCTTATTTCTGCACATTAATTATGTTTTTGATAAAAATCCTTTCGCTAAAATGCCATCAGAACGCTGATAATATTAAATGTGTCTCACCCCCTCCCCCCCCTTCAGTGTCCACCATATTGGACATATGCAGTAATAAAACTGTAAAACCAAAATATACGGTGGATCAGCTTTTGTGCACATCTGAATGTAATCCTGAATCAAATCAGGAGACAATGCACAGATGTTCCAGCTGTGCACCACATCTTATTTATCTGGAAGCTCTGAAGCGTCTGTTCAGTGGAGACCTGTTCTATTTGTGTCCATTTTCTGAAGGATTCGCTGTTAGAAAAATAAATATATATGCTTCTACTCCTCCACTCGAACCGCATCAACCAGCATGCTTGTCTTCAACAGACTCATCAGTGCAATCAGCTTAAAACAGAGCTGCTGACCACATTGCTTGGTCATCTGCTCTGGTGCTAAAGCTATGGTCAAGCTTGTCCCCTCCTAACCTCCGTCCCACTCCATCTGGTCCACTCCCGGCCTCCTTTCTTCATCTAATGTCTTCAGCATGTATTGCATCAGCTTTCATCTGTCATGCAGCATATTGTGCGCCTCATCCCTCTCCTCTTTCTCCTTACTTTCTGTTCCTTTTTGAACCCAGACTTTGGCATTTAAGCCCCGCTAGGAGTGAACTGCCGGTGACAGACGGGGAGACCTGATGCGACGCAGGACCTGAGGACAAAAACCATTTATTGCAATTTGCTTTGTTTTACTGTTTACTGCTGAAAATTGAAGGAGAGCATGAAGATTATTTATATCACTGCTGGATTTTCTTTTTATATTTGAGAAATATAGCGAACTGCATAGCATTATCTTTTAGTTACGATTTGACACCCCCCAAAATTGTAGGTGACAGCAGACAGGAGGCCTCTGATTGGTCAAATCTACTGTTAGGTTTATTCAATGATGTTATAAAATTAATGTGTTTATGAAACATTTTTGCAAGGGGATGCTCCACTCCTGTCTCATGATTCAGTCAGGAGACCATCCTGCCTTGTCATTCTGATGGAGCATTCTGTCTTCATGAACTGAACAATTGTTCTGTCAGAACAATACTCTGTTTGTAACCATGCGTCATGTTCTGTTAATAAAACGCTCTGCAAAGAAGGTTCAGTGAGAGTCTGGGGTTCAACTTTCTCTCCTTCCTGCAGGAATTGTACCCATAAATTGTGTATTTCAGTTCTTCTTAAGCAAAAACCTACATTTTATGAACCCAACATCTACAGCTGCAAACCTTTATTCTTAATGCACCTTTTCCTCCTTGTTTGCACCTTCTTTAATTACTATGCCAATATGTGACCAGTGAATTACTCCGCTGTGAAATCAATAAAGCTCATCTAATCTAATCTACATTATGCGTACTTCCTGTTTGATACCTAATGGCAGAAACTCTGGCCGTCCACAACGCCTGGCACACCTCGGACACTATCCCAGACATCGTGCATGACGCTAGTTTGTAGCTCTGTGCGACGGTCTGTTGGCAGGAAACACGCTAGCCTCGTGAGACCATCCTGATCTCGCGAGCTTTCAAGGTTTCACTCGCAGATCAGTCTGGAGACTCTCCGTTAAAGAAAATGTGGAGCCGTTCACCAAACGAACGTCCAATCAGCGTTGGCTTTGAGGCGGGTTGAGGCGTGACGCAAC